TGGGAGCGCTGCCACGCTCCCAAGCGGCGCACTGTAGCAGTGCGCCACCGGGCCGGCCCAGGGACCACTTTTAATGTCCGTCTACTCCCACCCCATTAAGATTCTTCCAACTTCCAGTTTCTTCCACCTCAAAGAGCATCACAGCTTTCTAAATCCTCAACTTTTGGTTTTTATTTGTCTTAGCAGCAAAATACCTCTACGGTAAGAGTATCATAAAAAATGGCTCTCATTAATTAAAAAAAGAAAAGCTTAAGCTTTGAGTTTTCTGTTTTGTTTTTTTTTTATGAGTATGGGTATAATCTTAATAAGGTGGTTCTTAGTTGTCTACCTATCTTTTTACCATAATGGAAACACGATTTTGGAATTTTCAGGATGGAGGAAAGAAACAAAAGAAATAGTGGGAAGTTTAAAAAGTAAAATAAAAAAATTAAACTCTTACGATGGGTCATTTTGCCAGGTTCTGCAGGCAAACTTTTATTTGAAGAAATTCCTTTTTGTGCTTTGTATTTAAAGTAAAATTAGGTAGCTAATGGGGCCCCTCAACCCTGAGAACACGACAGAGAAAAACTGCAAGGCATATGATAGTTATCGAAATACCGCACGACTGTTCCAAGCTTTAGAAGAACTTCCAAAAAGTACAAAGATGGCTATTTTAAAATTCCATACATATTAAGATAAGATGGGTTCTTTTACATAGTATTTTCAGACACAACCAACAATGTAATCTACAGAATTATATACAGCTCTATTCTATTGGCCAAAGGAAAAGTAGATAGATACTGTGAAAGTGGACTTTGAATTCTTTCTATAACATATTAAATTTCCAGACAACCTCAGCAGGGCTCTTCAAGTTCTAAACACTTTCTAGCTAAATCACAGCACCATCTTGATGAAAAGAGCCAGATATTATGACGGCTGTTACCAGAGTTAGCTTGTAATTAAAAGGCTGTGGCAACTTCGGCTCCGTGACGACCTCCAACTTTAATACAGTCTCGAGGAAATTTGTCCAACTGTTCATATGCCAGCCTCCCGTCTTCTCCTGGATAAAGAACATTAAGCATGAATTCAAACTTAGCTATTTTATTCATCACTCAAAATAAATTAGTATGAATTGTTTAGGTATGGATTGCTACAATTTGCTATGTTAACTTTAGGTAAAGAAAAGACATCTTCTGTTACTCTTAATTATGTTATTGTTTTCTAGGTAATGTTTAGAACAACCAAGAACTTTTGAGCTAATGCCAGAAACCAAAAGAATGCCAGGGTGTGAAACAGAATAGAAGTACTTTTGATGTTGATAATTTTACGTAAGAGATTTATTCCTGAGTTATCATATGGATTATATTTTAAGTGCATCAGGGATTTCAGTATGGCTGATCCTTGACCTCAGTGAATTGAACTTTAAGATAACTTTTACCTGTGTACATTATATTTTGATACATATAAATGATCATTGGTAACAGTCAAATTTAGGCTTTCAAACTTCAGCTAAAAAATTACTCTTTGCTATGTAAACATGGTGATGCCTTCTATCAGCCAACAGCTAGTTCCATTTTGTTCACAGCACTGTCTTGAACAGCCACGATATATTTGCAAATAATTTTAATATTTTGTCCTATTTTTCTTACTTAAAAAAATGTTTTGCGGTTGGCTGGTTAGCTCAGAGTACAGTGTTGATAACACCAAGGTCAAGGGTTTGGATTCCTGTACTGGGCCAGCTACTACACACACACACACACACACACACACACACACACACACACACACAAAATACATTTTTTAAAAAATAAATAAATAAATGCATAAAATTTTTAAAAAGATTAGAAAATGGGGAAATGAAGT